GCCCCCCCTGCTGACCTCTCCCTCCCCCCATATCTGCCCCTTTGCTGGCCCCAACCTCCCCCCATATCTGCCCCCCCCCGCTGACCTCTCCCCTCCCCCATATCTGCCCCCTCGCTGGCCCCACCCTCCCCCCATACCAGCCATCTGTCCCCCTCCACTGGCCTTCCCCCCCCATACCAGCCCCTCTGCCTGCCCCCTACCTGTGGTTGGGGCAGCCGGCACCCCGGCCTCCCGGCTCCCTCCTCCACCTGGATGTCGGCCCCGTCCAGGTCGCTGGAGGCAGCTGGGGAGGGGGTGTGGGGGTCAGTGGGTGTGGGAGGGGGCAGCAGCCTGCTCCCCCACTGGCCCCTCCCTCTCACCCCCAGCCCTCTCCCCTCCCCCATTCCCAGCCCCTCCCCATCCCCCACCTTTCCCCCCCCTCCTCCTGGCCGGGGGGGGCACTCACCTGCGTCCCTGGGGGGGGGCAGCATTCGCAGCCGGACCTTGGCCCCCGCCTGGCGAATGAGGCCCCCGAGTTCAGGGTGGGAGAAGCGGGCCAGGAGCCCCCCGTCCTCTGGACGCTTCCCGCCGGGGGGGTCGCCGCTGGGCCCGGGCACCAGCCTGTCTGCGTGGGGCGGGGGGGGGAAGGGTCAGTGAATGGGGAGGGGGCGCCAGCTCCCCCCAAATCCCCCCCACTGGTGAACTGAACCTCCTGCCCACAGACCCTGCCTCCCCTTCCCTTCCCCCTCACGACCAGACCCCCCCTGCACTGACCGAACCTCCCCCCCGACCCAAACCCCTTCTAGAGACCAGACCCCCCCTGCACTGACCCAACCTCCCCTCCAGACCCAAAACCCCTTCTAGAGACCAGAGGCCCCACCCCCGGCATCGGCCTCCCCCAGCAACCGCCCTTCCCCCCCAACCCTGCCCCCCCCCGAAACACTGACCCTCCCCCTCCTCCAGACAGGGCTCCACCCAAATTCTCCCCTCCCCCCCCCAAGCTTTCAAACTTGAAGCTCTTATCGGGGGTCAATATTTACCCAGTGGGGTGGGGGGAGGTCTGGGCAGGAGACAGACGGGGAGAGGAGGGGGAGTTGGTTGTGGGGTAGGAGGCGAAGTGTGGGATGTGGAGGGCCGAGGGGGGCGGGGGAGCAGAAGGGGCTGTGTGCGGGGTGGGGGAGAGAGGTTTATGTGGGGGGAGGGGGCGCAGGGCGGGTTGTGGGGAGAGGGGCCTGACTGAGGTGGGGGGCCTGGCAGCAGGGGGCCGTGCGGGGTAGGGGGAGTCAAGGGGAGTCTGAGTATGGAGGTGGCAGCATTCGGGGGGGAGGGGGGTCACGTGTGGGGTGAGAGACACTCCCAGCCCCCCCATTTCTATCTCCCCTCCCAAAACCACCCACTCAAAGTTACAGACTCTCCCTGTGTGTGGGGAGAACCCCCCTCCCTCAGGATGCAGCCCCCCCACCGCACCCCCAAAACCAGGACAGGAGGAGAAAGGCCGGTGGGGGAAGCTGGGGGGGCAAGAGGAGGGTATGGGGGGGTCGGTTCAAACCCTGGACGTTTCGCAGCACGGACTGGACCCTTTGCAGCATGGCCGGCCGTGGGGCGGCGGGGGGAGCCCCCTGGTTCCTGGGGGAGCACAGGTGTGGGGCGGGGTGTCCACGGGCCCCCCAGCTCGGCCGCCTTCGTCCCCGAGGAGTTTCCCAGGACAAACAAGCTGGGCTGAGAAAGTCAAGGACACTGGGGGGGGGGGGGAATGTGGGCGTGGGGGGGGTTAACCCTTTGGGAGCTGGGGGGGGAGCGCCAGGCCTCTCCCAGCAGGGGGTGCTGTGGGGAGCGGGAGGGGGGAGGAGAAATTCCAGAGCTTTATGGGGTGGAACAGGTCGCGCCCCCCCCCATGGGTGCCCGCCAGCTGCCTGGGGAGGGGGGCGGAGCCTGACATGGGTCAGGGAGCAGAACACAATGGGGTCTCTTGTGCCAGGCGGGGGGGAGGGGGCTCAGAAACGGGGGGGGGGG